AAGAATTAGAAAATGAAATCTAAAGAAAGCAAAAACAAAGGTAAAGAAAACAGAAATGCTGGTCATGGTGGTGTGCATCTTTAATCCCAGTCTTTGGGAGGCAGAGGCAGACGGATCTCTGGGAGATAGTGGATCTCTGGTCACATAGTGACTTCCAGGTGAGTTATGACTAGGGAGACCCTGTCAAAAAACAATCCACAACAAAAACAAAAAAAGAAAACAGAAGATAAAAGTGAAGAACATCAGAGAACCAGTTATATAGGTTTAACATCAGAACAATGAATTCAAGAAAGGGGATGGAGAAAATGAAAGATGTTGACAATAAAATAACACAAGAAAAATTTACAGACTAGAAAGACAAGTTCCTGATGTTTACCAAAATGAGTGAGAACAGACCACAAGGAATATTTTTGTTAAATGTCATTAACAAACAAACAAACAAAAAGCTGCCAGAAAGGAGAAACAAGCCACAAAGCAACGAAAGGGCTTTGGATTTTTCTACAGAAACTGGCTGCTGGAACACAACACAATGTTTCTAAGATGTTCATTTCCAACCAAAAAATCTATACTCCGCTAAAATTCTCAGGCAAAAAATAAAATTTTAAAGATATGCCTTATATTTTAGATATAAATAAAAACACTTAATGAATTTTTTCTCAAGGATTACTGGAAACTGTACGTTCTTCCTCTTGTATTCCTGATTTCATTCATGAGAAGCCATGGGTAGTCCTAGCTGGGATGTTGTCACCCAACATAAGTCTCCTCTCTCAAAGGTAATCATGCTTGACAGAGGTGTTTAAATATTTTCCCTTAATTATGTCCATAGTTCCTGGTCTCAGCTTAGACATGCATCAAATAACCACCTACCTGATCTGTCTACATCTAGTCCTGGTTTTTTTCATTCCATCCTCCATAGTTTGGCTGTAATTCTGCCTGAAATGTGAATCTGACCATACTATTCCCTTACTAAACTCTTACTAAAACTCTTCAAAAGCTTCTTGAGTTCTGACCCATGGGCAAGATAAACATTTGTCACTTAACAACTATCTCTTCCATCCCACAATAAACATTTTGTACTACTTTAGTTGACAAAACAGAATTGGTTTATAGGCTACCATGCTGATTTGCATACACTGTGGAATTATTAAATCAGGTTTACATATTCATCACCTCATTTCTTTGTGATGAGATATTTGGGATTTACTCTTTGTAATCTGAAATACACATTAGCTGTAGCCATCCTGTTATGCAACAGATCTCAACATTTTAGTCTCCCTAACAAACTTTATATCCTTTGACCAGCATCTCCCTATTCCCTTGTTCCCCAATGCCCATCTCATGACTACTATTCTACTTCCAACTTAAATAAACTGGACTTTAGATTCCAAATATAAGTGACGTTGTGCAGGATTTAGACATGACTTTCAGGGCACTCTAATCCACGGGATACAGTTTTCTCAAACACCTGGCCTTCACCAAGAGATGAAGTTAAGTGCTGCCGGTGTTTGGTACAAAGGCACCTTAGATGGCCCCTCTCAACCTTACTCTTGCCACTGTACAGAATCCTACAGGGGCTTGTTGAGAATTCAGGCACCCTACCTTGGCTCATCCTGTTCTCTCTACCTGGCATGCTTCTCACCTGACTAATGAATGGCCTTGAAGAGCTGGGCCCCTTCCAGCTCTAGAACCCTCCTAGGCTTCTCAACTCAGTATCTTCTTTCCTCTTGTACCTCACTCCCTACTCTCCCGTACTCAAATCATGTTTGTAAGTCTCCATCACTAGACAGAATTTATAGAGGGCAGAAACTCGGACGTTAGCTCTATTAAAAATTGCACAGTAAGAATTCAATTACTTCATGACATTAAACTGCCACAGTGCACTACGGGTAAAAGGGATGAAGGAAGTAAAAGATGCAGCGGAAAGGATCCCATTTGGCCCCTTTTGCAATGGTTGGGTCTGCTTGTGCCCGCTCTTCTTGTGTTTCCCCTCAGAAGTGATGGCTCCCTTCCTCCTCCTTCCACTAGTGTTTGGAGCATCTTTTATTTTTACTTGTTTTCCAACGGTCTCTCCTAGACTGCAAACCCTTTGAAAGGGCAGGGGCTGTGTCTTTATGAACTTGGGTCCTCAACGGGGCGGGGCGGGCCTGTCACCACGGGGTGCAGAACTCGTCCAGAGCCAGGCCTGCCCCGCCCCGGGCCTGCTCGGGCCCCCTCCTCAGGCCGAACACTTCCCGCCTTCAGGGCGGCGGAAGTTGCCGGCCGTTCGTCCCTGCCCACGTGGCGCCTTTTCCGGTGCGCCCGCCCCCTCCGGCTCGCGGGTCCGGACCTGGCCCTCACCTCAGGATTCCCAATGTGCCTCCGGGCAGACATATCTGCTCCAACCGACCACGCTCGAGGTTCTAGCCTGCCCGCTTGCCTCTAATCCTAGCTTCCCGTCCACCCCCCCACCCCAGCCCCGTCAGCCGTCTTCCTATAACCTCTTCTCCGATTGGTCAGACTTCCCAGACCAGCCAATAGGGGCTCCGTTTACTGCCCCAAGCAGGAGAACTAGACGTCGCTCAATAGTTGCCAAGGGCAACGCGGGACGCCCGTTAGAGCGGTTTCTAGTCCCAGTTGTCTGGTGGCCAGCTCCAGCCAGAAGGCGGGAAGAGAGGCGTGGGGGAGGGGAAGGGGAGCGCTTGCGCAGACCCCAGGAGGGGGACCGGCATGGGAGAGTGGGGACCAGGTCGGCCTCTAAGGCTAATGTGGGAGTAGAAGCACTGCACAGGTCGCCCCCACTCCTTCGTAAAGCCATTCTAACCAAACATCTGGGCTACTTCTGCCACTACAGAGGGGTGTGCTGAGGGCCGTGGCTGTTCAACCGGAATGAGAGTATATAGTTTATTATTTTCAGGTTATTATGCAAATTATGCAAAATATCGTGAGTAAATACAGTAATTATTCTTGCTTTAAAAGCTTTTAGTCAAGCTAAAGAAAGGCAGCCTTAATTGCAAAGCGCACACACCATTCAGTGGTTCATCATTCATTTAACAAGTATTTAATAAGCACCTTATGAGAAAAGCTGCAGTAGGTTTTGCGGAGGATGGGAAGGATGACTAAAACCCAGTCTTGTTGCCATGGAAACCATTGTGACTCCTGCCACAAGCCACCACCTGTTCTCATTACAGATCTGAAAATTAAGTCCTAGCACCTTTACAAAACAATTACGTACACAGTTTGACTTGGCTCCTAAATGTCCCACCAAATACATCAAAATTATTATTCCTTTTATAGAGAAGGAACAACACAGTAACCCTTTGTCCTTTGCTTGTCTTTTGCTCTAAGTCGTTTTTCCAGGAATGGAGAAAGGTTACACTGGGCTGTTCATACTAGCTGGCTTTCTGGGAATTACAGCTAATTCAGGGTCTGTGCTGAGGACCTGTTCAACAATATAGTCTTCTATACCTTGTTCTCTTAGATACTCAGAACCCACCTGTAGGACTGTATATTGAACCATGTTACTCAAAGGGACCTCCAGGATCTTGAATTATCTCCATAACTGCATCTTGTATTTCCTTCACTCTTTAAAACTTAACACATTTTATATTAATTTCCCTCGTGGTCTCCTGTCCTTTAATCCTTCTAAAATTCCTAATCTCTCACCCTTCTACTAGAATAAGGGATTTGGGGCTGCAAAAAATTAGAAGAGAGTAGGTGGAGAATATTTATCAGATCTTTGCATAGCAAGAAGAAACCTTTAGACACATTAATACTTAGAATGTATGCTTTCCTGTGCAACACAAAGTTGGGGGTGTCACAGAGATTACCAGTAGAAAAATGAAAAAGGGGCAGGTGAGATGGCTCTGTGGATAATAGGTACTCGAAGTCAGACTGGATAACCTGAGTTCAATCCACAGAACCCAAGTGGTGGAAGGAGAGAACCAACACCTGCAAGTTGTCTTCTGACCTTATATGTGTGCAAACACACACACAATAAATAAATGTTAAAAAAAAGTCAAAAGAAACAAGAATGGAGAGTGATAATAAGGGTCTAAACCAAGAGATGGGGAGGCAAAAGAAGAAAGGGGAAACAAAGACATTTATAGGTGAATTAATAATTATAAACAAGATGAGATAAACAGGGAAAGGAATAGGAAGGTATTAGGGACAGCTATAAATTTTCAGACTTGGAAGTCTGAAGAAATATTTGATAATGCATTAATAAAGTCAAAGAACAAGAATCAAGTAACCAAAGAACAGAAAGTAAAATACTCAACTTCTATTCTTCAATGTAGGGATTTACTTCTTTGTATGACTGCTACTCTTTGGTTCCAGGATATGGAAATACAAGATTTATTGGCCTTAGTGGCTATTGTGTTTGTCAAATTTGGGCAGCATTTGAAACATACAGGGAGATTATAGAAAAATGGATTCTTCAATCTGTTCTGACTTAGGGCTGGGGATGGAGCAATTTAAATACATGATCTTGGGCTTGGAGAGATGGCTTAGTGGTTAAGAGCACTGTCTGCTCTTGCAGAGAACCCAGGTTCAAATCCCAGTACCCACATAGCAGCTAACAAACCATCTGTAACTCCAGTTCCAGGGAATCCAACACCCTCTTCTGACCTCCGTGGATACTGCATTGACACAGGTGCACTTACACACATGCAGGCAATACACATAAAATAAAAATAATAAAATATATGATCCTTCCCCATCTCCTTGACTCTGATGAAGAGCCACACCTCCAGAAGAGCCCCTCTTTTATTCATATGCTTCAGGGGAATCTTTGAAAGTGTAAAACTACAAACCAAAAGGCTCTTAGCATCATGATTCCTTTCAGATCCTGCTGTGCCAAAACTGGATCAAAATTAAAGCAAGGTGTTTATTCTCAATATGAAAAATAGCTAACTAGGATAAAATGATAACCCATAGAAGATTATAGTCAATAAACATATTAAGAAGTGCCTTAGGCCAGGCATGGTGGCACAGGTAGAGGCAGGTGAATCTTTGTGAGATCGAGGCCAGTCTGGTCTACATAGTGAGTTCCAGGCCAGCTGGAGCTAGAAGGAGACCTGGTCTCAAAAACAACAACAAAAAGTGCCTAGTAATCAGAACATAATGTTGGATCTCATTTTTCAACTAACAAATAGACAAAGGATACTTTTCTGTGTTGGCTAGGGAAGCATGAAACAAATACACTTAGACTCTACTAGTGTGGATGTAAAGAAATGTGACCCTGTTGAAGTAGAGTTTGAGAATGGGTATAGAGAAGTCCTCAAATCTTACCCTGAGAATTCCTTCTAAGGACATAATGAAGGCAACATACAGAGCTTCCACTTACAAACGGTTACTTAGAACAATGAAAAACTTAAATAACCTAATTAGTTCTTGAGTTTAAAAGAAATGATTAAGGGACTGGAGACATGGTTTAGCAGTTAAGAGCACTGCCTCCTCTTGCAGAGGACCTGGTTTTGATTCTCAGCACCTGCATGGGGCCTACGAACCATCCTTAACTCCAGTTCCAGGGGAATCCAAAGCCCTCTTCTGACCTCCTCGGCATTGCACGACATGGGTGCACTCACATACATGCAGGCAATACACTCATACGCATAAAATAAAAATAATAAAATATTTTTAAATGATTAAAATGTATCATGACATATTCATAAAAGGTAATCTTATGGAATAATTAAAAAGTATGTTTCAAGGAATACTTAGAGCAATGGAGAACCACTCATGACATAGTGAGTGAAAAGAACACAGGAAACTTCTTATTTAATATGATCTTGATCTGCATAGAGGGGGAAAAAATACAGGGTTACCTAGAAAAAAACTGAAAAAAAATTTTTAAAGAAAAACCACGTCTGGATCACAGAATATGGATATTTGTTTTATTCTATACACCTTTTATGCATTTCACAGCTTTTCTTCAGGGACCGTGAATTTGTTCTATACTTTAAAATCACATTCTTCCCCTAAGAAGCAAAAACCAAGATGCTGGGTGCATCCTGAAAGCTGTCTGTGGCTTTTGTCTGGGCTGATTTAGACCAGAGCGGAATACTGAGTAATTCTTCTATGTGAAGTGCTGTAGTCTTGGCAGTAAAAGACTCTCCAGGCACTTGAGTGAGATCCTTGCAATCAGAGTCGTGATTGCTAAGAGGTTCAAGCTTTGTTTGTAAGAGAAGAAGTTCTGATTCTTTTCTTTAGAAGTTCTACTTCCACTGATTAATCTTATTTTTCCCCTGAAGTTGGAAGTGCTCTTATGAACTTCCATTTGTTTGATGTCTCCTTTTTAACCCTGTATGCGTTCCAAAAAGCTTTTAGTTTCTATTGGGTTGAGAGTGGGGCACTCCAGATAGGGCTGGTGTGGTGGATGGAAAGCTAGTTTGTATTTTAGGTGCTCCAGTGTTCTCTTAGTTCCCAGACTCTTCTCCTCAGAACTAAATGGATATTTTGGTACCAAGAAAGTTGGTCCTTTCCCATGCCTCAAACCTTCTGGATCCTTCTTGACCTTGAACCCTTCTAATTATCCAGCTTGACATCTTCCATCTAATTTAGCTCTTCATGGCCCTTCTTGAGTGTCAAGCCTGTTTTCCTGATTAAAAGCCCAACTTCCCATTTGGACTGGTCTCATGATGTTCCATTTTGGATCTGGTCCTTGGCTCCTTTCCTTGGCTTCATTTACTCTCATTTCCTAAATGACACACATGTCCAGATGTTTAAGGGAACAGTTCTACCCTATCCAGTCCTGAGGTCCTTCACTGGGTTCCCAGAAATGGGACTGCAGCTGAGGCAGTGAACCTCTATCCTGTGACGTGGTCCTGCAATGACAGTGACAATATGGTGTCATTCTACTACTGGTAGGGCGTGTCCATAGGAAGAGCACACCCAAATCTGAGTGGGCCAGTAGTTCTTGCATACCTCTAGTTTAGACTAGAGTTAAAGGGTTGGGGCCCAACAACCTCACACATTCCTGCACCCCCTCTCAAGAAAATGTTACCCATATTTCACACTGCACTATTTTCTAATGAAACAAAGAAACTAATGCAAATGACATCCTGGTTGATTGCTGGTATCATCCATGTTCTCATATGTGCAGTTCTATTTTGTAGGTGTCTTGGTCTATTTTCTGTTGTAACAAAATACCAGAGGCCAGATAAGAAGAGAGGTTTTATTTAAGTCAGAATTCTAGAAGTTGGGAAATCCAAGAGCACAGTGCTAGCATCTGCTTGGCATCTGGTGAGGACTTTCTTGCTGCATCGTAATGTGGCTAAAGACACCCAGAAGATCCAAAACTTCCTTTACACCTGTGATGGAGGCTGTCAGGGAGGTTGGACACTACATGTAATGTTCTGGCCTTTGGCTTGGGATTTGTATAGCACAATGTACTGCCACAGACCCAGTCCCAAGAGGACTTTGAGGAGATGACCTGGGTCAGAATAGAGGAAGAGTCAGAGTTGGGAGGCACCTACT